CAGGACTGCAGGCAGGGCTGCGGAGAGAGGAGGCAGAGCTGGGCCCGCGGCAGCGCAGCTGGGACGGAGCCACCCGCGGGGGACACGGCCACGGCCCCACACGGGCACCCGAGCACAGCGCTCCCGCGACGGCTTTATCCCTTCATCCCTGCCGTGCCGCAGCCCGGGACGAGGCTGATCCTGCGGCATCCCAGAGCAGGACGCGGCTGGACCCCCAGCCGTTCTGCTTCCCAAGAGCAGCTCAGCACCAGCATCGCCCCTCGGAACCCTCCTAAGGGGACAGATCCCAACTCGCCAAGCGGCAGCCCCGGAAAGCTGCCGGCGCCCAGCACGGCGCTGACGTATCCCGCAGGCCAAGGGTCGGGAATGCCACTGTTTCCACCCCACAGCTGCTGGGGAAGCAGCGTCAATACAAAACACCCGAGTTTTGTCATCGCGCTTTAACGGAACATTGAGCATTTCAGGCCATCTAACGGCTTGGGCCTAACTGCATGGCAAATGTGTTCGAGAAATAATTGGTTATTAATAGGAGCTATAAATCTCCGAGATCTCCAAGCCTTCTAGACTCCCAGCTATAATTTGGATATTAAAACTTCCTTCGGCAAGACATAGTTCAAGTGAGGGATATACCCTCTAAGTCACCTTTCAAAGCTGCCTGCTGTAAAGGCTGATTTACTGCCTGTTGGTCTTAAACTGGTAAACATTTAAGACCCAGCTAAATATCGTTGCACAGACATTCCCTGAAGGATAGATGTCCACAGGGAAGCAGGGCTGGAGAGTGGAGAAACAAAGAGCACCCGGAGACGGAGCGGACGGGTTGCAGAGAGCACAGAGCCGCCGTCCCACACGAGCTCCAAGAACTGCATCCTCCTCCACTGCAGCCACGGCTGCAGCCTCGCTGCTCCTGCACGAAGAGGGGAGGCGGCAGGGCCGTCCCCGCGGGAGCAGGGCCTCCCCTCGCAGGGGAGCTGCACGCTCAGGCCTTGGACGTTGCCTGCACAAAGCTGAGCCCGTGGCTTTAGCTCAGCACGTTCGCACGTGCCATGGGCAAACACCAAATATAATATACACAAATAGAATATAATAATATAGACATATATATAATATAATATGGCTCTTCTAGGACAATGTCACACGGGGCCGCTGCTCCATCCACCGTGTTCTCCTCGCCAACAGTGCAGCTGCTGCCCTGGGTCCTTCACAGCGAGTCTCCCATCTCAGCTTGTAAAATAATCCGGCTAATAAAGTCTTCTCCAGACATCCATTAGGAGTCTATAATGCTAATTTTATGTAAAAATCCAATACGTCTCCTCATCGAGTTAACATCATGGACCTGTACTGGACTCCTAAGCGTGCGCCAGCAGCAGTGCTGCAGGATCCGCACGGGGAAGGGTGCGGAGGGAGAGGCTGGAACAGCTCGAGCTCCCAGGGGACCTGCGGGCACCTTCTTGTTCCCTCTTCCTGGGGGATGGGGGACAGGTAACATCTCCCCTCCAGCTCGGCAGACCTGCCCGTCCCATCACATCATGAAACCAACCTCTAGAGCAGCCGTCACAAGGCAACGGTGTCCTTGGAAAAAGACTAACCTTGCTGAGCCCGAAACACAAGCAGTCCCGGGGAGGAGGGTGGGACCCCTTGGGACCGCACAACCGGCCAGGGCAGGGAGTGAGGAAGGACACGTCTCCCTGTGGAAACGCTGTCCTGGGGATGCATCTTCAAAACGGGAACCAGAAGAACCCCATTTCACACCCAGTTTCATCCAAACCTGCCTGAAGAGCCAAGGTGTCCACAGAAAGAGGAGGATAAAACCAGCCTTTCCCCAAACTCTCCTGTGTCTCGTTAGCCCTAGATCTTCCTGTGGTATACTCTGCCCTAGCCCACAGTATGTCAACATCGAGACAACGTCGCAATAGTCGTGACGGAAGTCAGGCTGGCTGGTGCTGCCTCCTGCACTCCAGCGAGTGAACTCTGCGCGTCTGGAGGCTCTTGGTGACAGTCCCCTCTCCTTTTCCAGAGCAGACAGCGCTCCAGGCAGTGGCTCCGGTCACACTGATGCTACCGAAAGCCGGGGGTGTCGGGGGGGCCCGCCGCGGCGCCCACTCGCACTCGCACTCACACTCACCCAGGCGGAGTTGGACTGGTTGAGCTGGTTGAGCATGACGACGGAGGTGCAGCCGTAGTCGTACACCAGGCGCCAGAAGTCGGTGGTGGTGTTGGGCAGCGGGTGCAGGGTGACGACGAAGGCCGCGCTCCTCGTGTAGCTCTGTGGGGTGGAAGGAGCACGGTGAGGCCCAGGGCAGGAACGCGGCACCCGGCGGCGCGGGTCTGCACACGGCTGAGCTTGGACGGGGCCTCTGGAGACCACCTAGCCCAACCGCTCTGTCCTCCTCGCAGGACGACCTCGCGGAGGTCACTGCATTGCCCAGGCCCTGCATCCCACTCTCCTGAGTTAGCTTCAGAGAAGAGGAGAAGGAAAAAGCTCCGGGCACAGCAATTCCTGGTGCAGGGACAAGTGTTGCCCCTCCAGGCTCTGCAAGCAGCGCCAGCGCAGCAAAGGGTCCCACTCCGACCACATTTCCCTGCTCCAACTGCCACCAACTGCACCGACACCAAGAGCAAACCTGCTCCGAGACCTCGGAAGCACTTAACCTCCTCCAAGGCTCATCCTGGTGCTCCCAGCACCATGAAAACCCGTCCGAATCCTCTCTGCGCTTGACCCTCCCAGCGAGGGAGATCACAGCTCTGATCCGCGAACAAGCGTGAGCCGCGGACGCCGATTGGGAAGCTAACAGGACCGCAGTGCTCCCGGAGAATCAAGACAAAGCCTTCTACAGACAGCAAAAGAGAAAAGAGTCGAGAAAGAAACGACCCCGACTCATTCTTCAAAAGCACCAAGTGCTTTGAGGGCACCTCTCCATCCCCAGCAGCAGCTGCCTTATGTCGCTGCTCCTTGGCCAGGCGCATTTAAGGCGCGGGAGCATCTCCATGAGGTTTTGCACTCGCTGGCCTTCCTCTCCCCCTTGGGGAGCGAGGGAAGGTGTTCGGGGAGGAGGAACCCTCCAGAGCCCCTCCTGCATGTCACCCCTTACTGATGTAGAATCACTACGGTTGGAAAAGAGCTTCAAGATCACAGAGTCCAACCATAAAATATCTGTAAAACCATAAAAACACGGCAAGACTCAGCCTGGCCCCTTGCAGCGTCGGGCAGCACCGGGGGTTCAGAGCGTCTCACCCCTTCGTTGCACCCACCTGTGTCAGAGCAGGGCCCTGGAGGGCCCCGTTCTCCCCAGCACACCCAGAGGGGAGGCAGGAAGGCAGGTTGGGTGCGACGGGCTGCACGGCTGTGCGCCACCGCCATGGGCAGACGGGACACGCGGACGGAGCCAGCGAGCTGCTCCGGCACGCAGAGCAGAGGAGACGCTTTATCAGAGAGGAAAATGGCTTTATTCCTTCAGCAAGAATTGCCCCTAAAGGGCTTTTCCTGTCTGCAGAGCAAATTCTCTTCTCTGACCTGGGCTGTCCCTGTAGCAGAGATTAGGGAAAGGAGGCTCAGCGATGTATAAAAATAAGAGAGAGCTGCAAAGCCCGAGCAAACTGAACGCAAAGCTCACATGCTGGGGAAGCGGAGCCCTGAGCTCGCTGCAAACTGCTGCCCTTCGCAGCTGCCTCCGCATTATGAACTGCTTCCGCTGCGAGTTTCGCGAAGCAGCAACACGATGAACGGCCTCCGGGCCGGAGCCCGGCGTGCCCAGCAGGGAGGGAGGCGGCGAGGGG